TATGTATGTATGTATATGTATATATATATGTATTAATATATATATATATATATATATATATGGTATATATATATGTAAGTATGTATGTATGTATGTACGGATTTTAACTTATGCGCCTATTTTATGTACATATAGTTCGTAGATTTTATGCACGGCCATGTTGCTTTTCGTATACTACTATTATTTGGCATGTATAGACTAATGGAGATAGCACATTGCTAAGCAAAGTGCTTCTAAATAATATCCTTTTGTTAATAGTCGAGTTTCCACCATGCTGATATGTTTGTCGGATGTTCATAGTAGTCACCCGACGCACCAGTACATAGAACCCCCGTTTACAGTAATACAACTCACAGATATTTAACCTGTCGCCACTCGTGATTGTACAGGCTGGGACAACGACGGCTTCAGCGGGTATGCGCTGCTAGCTCTGCGGTTACTGAGTAGGGAAAGGAAAGGCCTGAAGCAACTGCACGATAAACAGTCTCTGCAAATCATGCTAAGGTGCGCTTGCCAACAGCTAGAGGTATGTAGTTTTGTGTTGCGACCGATGTTGGGTGCGTTCCAAACCAGGGTTTGCGCATCAGGAGTCGTATTATCATGTGTGATGAAAGTGCTCGTCTGCTGGTCCTTCTTGGGAACATATTCTAACCTATGCACACGTCGATAGCTTATCAGCGTATTGTGGTATTGTTCGGCATCCCATTTTCTTTTTAGTACACATCACCCACTGGTGTACATCCATCACGCTTGTGTTTTCCCATGTGTATAACTATGTACAAGGAGTATTATTCGCTTTTGGTTGAATACATATACCATTAAGCATTGCGCTATCTCTCGCCCGTGCGTACATCCGTCACTCATCGATATGATCCCTTGAATTTTTCAGGCCACCGAGCATTCAGTCCGAGCCGACGAAGAAGGTATCAAGTGTCTAGTAAACGCCACACACAGCAATCCCGCACAACAAGATATGTTCATAGAGCTTGATGGCCCCATAACGATACTAAAACAAGCGCACGAGACAGTGTTGGGCTCACCTACGCCCACACACGCACACGCGTATGTGTGGTATGCGCTCAGACTGCTGTTCGTGGGTGTGGCCACAACGCCAGCAGCGATGAAGCAACTGGTTGAGAATGGCGGCGAGCGGTTGTGTGTGGAGATGTTTGAGGTTGTGGTGGGACTGAGGCCGCAGAACTCGGGTATGTCCAGTCTGTGGCAATGTACACTCTTATCTGCGTGTGTTTAACCTCCAGGGTGCGTGCGTGTGTGCGTGCGTGCGTCAGTTTGGGTACCTGTATTTTGCCTACGTAGTAGCGCTCGGGCTGACGTGTGTTCTCGTGGAAAACATTCCCATAGCCGCCGTCCCAAATGGCAGGTACAAGACCGAGTGGTTGTTTATGACGTAGGCTCGCTTCATTACCACATTCATACCCAGTGGTCGGGTGTATTCAATCTATTGGGGCGCTTAGCCTATGGCAGTTCCGTGAGCTGGCTTGCAACATCGCTGCAGGACTTGTCAGACTACGACGGAGGGTATATGTCCATATGTAGTAGGACTTAACATCACATAGGCACCTGTTCAACAACACCACCGAGCACGCATTTTCTCGAAGGGTTTGAAACAACACACTCTTTGTTCTGGTACCTGTGCTCGCAGTATGTTGCCTGCACTTGAGCAGTTGAGTAGTGTTCCACCCCGCATAGCGTATTTTCAAACCCATCCGTAAGTAGATTATATGCCACAACTCTCTATCCTCAAAATGGCTGGACGGTTTAAACTATACCCGAGATGGCACAACTCGCTGCTATTCACCAGTTGTGTACACTCACCATGTGTTATTATCAGGTACCTCTGAAGATGCTACAAGAGAATTCGAACCACCCAATGCGGCGCAAAATGTGGTCACAGAACTGTCGAACATACTGTTTAGTGTCACCGGCCGATTTAGCCAATTCCGCGCAAAGAAAACCAGTGATCCCGATCTCACGCCGGAAGAGAAGGCAATGTTCACAAGACTCATGGCGTGTGTGTACGTACACCTTAGCACAGGTATGTTTGTAGCTTGTGTGCCATCAGTGCGCGCGTGTGACTATTTTGTCGTTCTTGTTCAACCCTTATCCTGATGCAAACCCTCTTCGGTCTGACGTATATAGAATTTATTGACAATATAGCTTGGTGCATCGAGTCGTGCGTCATAAATGCTTGATTTTGCATATGGCTTTTGGTTTGTTCCGAGATATAGTGAGACACAAAGGTGTAGCAGAGTAGTTGGCGTGGGCAACCCCATCTGAGATACAGAATCCTGGCGAGTTGTTTGCATAAGTGAACGACTATCACATGATCTGCTTTATTGAGGGTTCGTTATGGAGAAGATGTGTATTGCGCATCGCATCATAGCACCTGTACTCAAATAGGCACAAACTATACGTTACCTCGGATGTCATTGACCTGATTGTTTGTTCATAGAGAGAGCCAGTCCTGAACGAGCGTTCACAGACAAGCTCAAGTCCTGCTCAAATTAACTGTAAGACAGTGGGTGAATTCTACCTACATGGCGAGATCATGTGTATGTCAATATATGCTCTGTCATACAACTCTCCTTGTATATATATCTGAGAACGTAGTATCCGCTGCGTGGTGTGCTGATCTCATGTGACCCACTTCTATGCGCAGCGTATGAGAACCAATTGGCAGCAGCCGCACAGAGCACCCGCCCCAAGGGAGACACTACGGCCAGCAGTGTACACACGAAGAGGCACGCCTACGCCAAGGGATATGCGGAGCCAGTATCTCTGGCGTGTAACTCGGTGCACAGTGCATTCTCGGTGCTGTACAACACGCCTGACGGTGTGGAGAGTGCTATCCTTGAAGTGGCGAGGCAGCATGGCCCCGAAGGGGATGGGGATGGAGAGGGGGGTGCTGTGGCTGAAGGGGTGGACAAGATCAGCATCAGTTCTGATCCGAACTCTGAAGCCGACGGATTTGGTTCTGATACGAACGTCACTAGAAATGTGAAGGGTAAAGAGCCGAGCGAACCAGATACACAAGCCATCGACATGTGGGTGGCGTATATATACTCCACGGCCAAGGCGAATCAACAACACCAACTGCTGCCGATGCTGTCTGTGACACGCTTATATGCGCACAAAGTACCAGTCATACGGAGACATCTGAGAGCAAAGATACTCCCCAGGCGTACACGGGAGGACTGTGCACTGAGACCTGAGCAGGTGTGTAGCCATATGCTTGGACCGTACAAAAGTGGGCTGAGACACTCGCGCATACTGATCCACTCACTGTGGTGATGGTGTGGTGTTTACTAATTCGGCGCTCAGTGTAGGACGTAGTTCTGGATAAGAATATGCTTCGGATGTGCATGTTCAACCACTGCTACCGTCGCGATAAACCTTGAGGCTGTTCATGGGTTCGTTTGGGTTGGAGATTCGTTTGTTTATTACATGTATGTGTGTTTTCCATATCGTTTTGTGCTATTTGGGAGCTGTCTTCGGGCTTGAACTTCATAAGTTGGAAATAGTGACCAGCACGCATACAGACTCGTGAATGCCTTCTTCGTTTTGGAACGTTTAAGGATTTCAAGCTTATCGATGTAACCTGTTCCGTGAGTCATGCCTCTGAACTTCGAGGTCGGTTCATGTGGATCCGTTTTTGACATCGCTGAATAGTTCGGGTGAACAGGCACTAAGTAGGATACAGTTATGATTCAATTCTAACACAACTGCACACACGGTACATTTGCGCAGGAGGACACGGTGAGAGGCAGCCTGGTGAAGCTGATGACTTCGATCCACATGAATGTGAAGGACCTGGTAGCCGACATGTTATATGTACTGTGCAAAGAAGATATGAATAGACTCATTAGACACACCGGATACGGCAATGCGGCTGGCCTGCTCGCCAGGTGGGTCGCAGTCTACAGTTGTTGTTTGATTTGCCTGTCGTCTTGGGTCTTGGGTTCAGTGAGTACATGTCAGAGGTTCTTGAAACATGCGCACCCTATATTGCCGTGTTGCGGCTGTCGAGACGTGATAAGCACGACGGCAGCTTGATTACAGTGAGTTCTTGGTCCCTTTACGCTTTCACATCCGTATTTCGAAGTCAACCTAACCTTGTATGTTATTTCGTATACCAGTATCCCATACGCCTATGAGTGTTATATATCAGAAAATGTCAGACCGAATATCGGAATAATCAATCACCTTAGGTTTTTTTAGCGATCACCCGTCTGAAAGGTTGCTCGGACATTCGAGCATAAATAATCTTGAAGACTTGAATAACAGTACTTTAGCAAATTATCCCGTTTGCAATGTACTCCAGCAATGTATTAAAAATCATCTTCTATCACATAGGGCACTGAAGGTAATAGATTACAGGTAGATTGTAACCTGCCACCAGACCTTGCATGAAATCCAGCCTATGATGTTGAGAGTCATGTATATATATATATATGTGTGTGTGTGTGTGTGTGTGTGTGTATATATGTATA